GAGCTGTCAACTGATCACTACCTGGTGGTGAGTTGGCTCCGATGGTGGGGGAGGATGCCAGTCAGACCTGGCAGACCCAAACGTATTGTGAGGGTTTGCTGGGAACGTCTGGCAGAGTCTCCTGTGAGACGGAGTTTCAACTCCCACCTCCGGGAGAACTTTGAACATGTTCCGAGGGAGGTGGGGGACATTGAGTCTGAGTGGACCATGTTTCGTGCCTCTATTGTCGAGGCGGCTTACCAGAGCTGTGGCCGCAAGGTTGTTGGTCCCTGTCGCGGCGGCAATCATCGAACCCGATGGTGGACACCGTCGGTGAGGGATGCTGTCAGGCTGAAGAAGGAGTCCTATCGGGCCTTTTTGGCCTGTGGGACCCCGGAAGCAGCTGATGGGTACCGGCAGTCCAAGCGACATGCGGCTCGGGTGGTTGCTGAGGCAAAAACTCTGACATGGGAGGAGTTCGGAGAGGCCATGGAGAACGACTTCTGTATGGCTTCGAGGCGATTCTGGTCCACCATCCGGCGTCTCAGGGGGGGAAAGTGGTATGCCAGCAACACTGTTTATAGTGGGGGTGGTGTGCTGCTGACCTCAACTCGGGATGTTGTGGGTCGGTGAGCGGAATACTTTGAAGACCTCCTCAATCCCACTGGCACGTCTTCCACTGAGGAAGCAGAGCCTGGGGACTCTGGGTCGGGCCCTCCAATCTCTGGTGCTGAGGTCACTGAGGTGGTTAAAAAGCTCCTCGGTGGCAGGGCCCCAGGGGTGGATGAGATTCGCCCAGAGTTCCTTAAGGCTCTGGATGTTGTAGGGTTGTGTTGGCTTACACGACTCTGCAATATTGCGTGGACATCGGGGGAAGTTCCCCTGGATTGGCAGACCGGGGTGGTGGTCCCCCTATTCAAAACGGGGGACCGTAGAGTGTGTTCCAACTACAGGGGAATCATGCTCTTAAGCCTCCCTGGTAAGGTCTATTCGGGGGTTCTGGAGAGGAGGGTGCGTCGGATAGTTGAACCTCGGATTCAGGAGGAGCAGTGCGGTTTTCGTCCTGGTCATGGAACACTGGACCAGCTCTACACTCTCAGCAGGGTCCTGGAGGGAGCGTGGGAGTTTGCCCAACCGCCCGGCTACATGTGCTTTGTGGACTTGGAGAAGGTGTTCGACCGCGTCCCTCGGGGGACCCTGTGGGGGGTACTCTGGGAGTATGGGGTACCGGGCCCTTTGATACAGGCTGTTAGGTCCCTGTATGACCGATGTCAGAGCCTGGTCCGCATCGCCGGCAGTAAGTCGGGCTTGTTCCCGGTGAGAGTTGGACTCCGCCAAGGTTGCCCTTTGTCACCGATTCTGTTCATAACTTTTATGGACAGAATTTCTAGGCGCAGCCAAGGTGTTGAGGGGATCCGTTTTGGTGGCCTTAGGATTGCGTCTCTGCTTTTTGCAGATGATGTGATCTTATTGGCTTCATCAGATCGTGATCTACAGCTTTCGCTGGAGCGGTTCGCAGCCGAATGCGACGCGGCCGGGATAAGGATCAGTTCCTCCAAATCCGAGGCCATGGTCTTGAGCCGGAAGATGGTAGAGTGCCCTCTCCAGGTCAGGGAGGAGGTCCTACCCCAAGTGGAGGAGTTCAAGTATCTTGGGGTCTTGTTCACGAATGAGGGAAAAATGGAGCGTGAGATCGATAGGCGGATAGGTGCAGCGTCTGCAGTGAAGCAGGCGCTGTACAGGTCTGTCGTGGTGAAGAGAGAGCTGAGTCAAAAGGCGAAGCTCTCAATTTACCGATCGATCTACGTTCCTACACTCATCTATGGTCACGAGCTTTGGGTTGTGACCAAAAGAATGAGATCTCGGATACAAGCGGCCGAAATGAGTTTTCTCCGCAGGGTGTCTGGGCTCTCCCTTAGAGACGGGGTGAGAAGCTCGATCATCCGGGAGGGACTCAGAGTAGAGCTGCTGCTTCTCCACGTCGAGAGGAGCCAGTTGAGGTGGCTTGGGCATCTGTTTAGGATGCCTTCTGGACGCCTCCCTGGTGAGGTGTTCCGGACACGTCCCACCGGAAGGAGGCCCAGAGGAAGACCCAGGACATGCTGGAGGGACTATGTTTCTCGGCTGGCCTGGGAACGCCTCGGGATTCCCCCGGAAGAGCTGGCCCAAGTGGCTGGGGAGAGGGAAGTCTGGGCCTCCCTACTTAGGCTGTTACCCCCGCGACCCGACCCCGGATAAGTGGAAGAAAATGGATGGATTGTATGGTATGGTATTGTAGATGAACAGATGCTGAGATATATTCATCAATTAAAACGGATTCTTCATTTTTCTGGACTGAATATAAACGTGCATTGAATTTAATGAAATGTGGACGTGAGACGTTAATTATCTTTGACTCACCACGACAGTGGGTCATTTATTAACAGAATCAAGTTTAACACATCAAACATTTACATTAATTTGGCAAAATATGAAAATAACAATTAATCAGCGAGCTGTACAATTATGATCAATTATTCACACGGCGGTGGATGAGCACTTTACACAGACATTTCTAAATTATCTGGAATGATTTCTACTTGATAGAAGAATTTAAAGATGGAAAATGAAGTTTAAAGGGAGTAAAAGATGGTGTGTGAGTGAAAAGTGTTGACAGGACGACACCCTCCATCCGACCCAGCTTTTCCTCGGTACGCTCAGTAGTGGACTAGACTCATTTACCTCTCTGACGATGAATCAGAAGAAGAGGAGCTCCAGTTAACGCTACCTTTCAGCGTCTCCGTAGGATGGCAGAGATATATCCGGAGTGGTGACAAGACTTTGTCAACAACAGTTCACCTCACAGGGTGGACTTCACATGAGTGGGGTTCTTCAGAAGTTCCACTCAGAGGTGGAAGATGTTATAATCCAAACTCGGAAGAGCCTTATCATGGCTGGACTTCTGTTCTCCCAAACGACTGGAGCTGCAAACTCTCCAGCCCGACTCCAACGGCAACTCACAGAACAACGACTTCACAGAACTGCGAACATCTCAGAACTGAGAACTGGGCACATCACAGAACGGCCACTTCACCGAACTGGGAGAACTAGGAAGTACCGACATTTTAAAGGGCTCTATTCCCGGTTCATTTGAGAGTTCCTGATTGGTCAATATCAACCATACAGGGGTGTGTTTTGTGATGTAAGAGGTTACTAGAAGTCAGAAAACAGCAAGAATGTTATTGGAACAGATTGAAAATGTTCCCAGACAGGCGAGAGAAATGTTTGGGCGAGTTTGGAGAAACAGGTGCCAACTTCTCTGTTTACGTCTGAGAGGATTTAAAACAAGACAGTTGTTCCAACACTTGTCTGCTTCGACTCCTGGCCTTGGAAAACGTACACTGCTCATTCAAAGACAGAAATCAGAAAATGCATAATTACTCTGTAACAGGCCTTAACATGAATTCTACTTTGCATAAGCAACTAAAAAATCATTGTTACTGTTTTACAGTTAATAAAATTGATTAGTTCACTGTAACATCTAAAATGTTTGAACTGAAACACTTTGATTATCAAACATTTGTAAAACAGTAATGATAATAGAAAAGAGAGTGTTCTTTCACTTGAATTTTCAAGAAAGAAAGTCTCAGGATGGGTGAACCTGTCAATGAAATGACAGTTTCTGTCCCACAAGGTTCTTAAGGTCAAGGGTTTTGACCTTAGGCTTAGTTTTGACATCAGGTCAAGTTCACTACAGTATGGTATGGTATGGTACAGAACCTCACAGACCTACAGAACCTCAATAACCTACAGAACCTCACTGACCCACACAACCTCAATAACCTCCAGAACCTCACTGACCTGCAGAACGTCACTGAACTCCAGAACCTCACTAACCTGCAGAACCTCACTGACCTACAGAACCTCAATGACCTGCAAAACCTCACTGACCTGCAGAACCTCACTAACCTGCAAAATCTCACTGACCTGCAGAACCTCACTGACCTACAGAACTTCACTAACCTGCAGAACCTCACTGACCTACAGAACCTCACTGACCTACAGAACCTCAATGACCTACAGAACTTCAATGACCTACAGAACCTCACTGACCTGCAGAACCTCACTGACCTACTCAAGGCTAGGTCAGTAAACAAGGCCAGGCTGATTCTGGCAGATCCTGATCACCAATCCATGTTGAGTTCAGGTTGTTTCCATCTGGACGCAGGTATTTGCTGCCCAGATGTAGAACGAACAGACTGAAAATCTCAGTGGTAGCATGATGGAACAGTGGTTAGCACTGGTGCCTCATAGCAAGAAGGTCCTGGGTTCAATTCAATTCAATTCAGTTTATTTATATAGCGCCAAATCACAACAAAGTTGTCTCAGGGCACTTTACAGAAACATTCACATTCATAAAAGCCAATTAGTAAAGTTCTCTATCTAAGGAATCCAGCAGACAAGTTGAATCTTGGCTTTGTTGCAGTCTCCCATCCTGAGCAAGCACAGTGGCAACAGTGGAAAGGAAAAACTCCCTTTTAAAAGGAAGAAACCTCCAGCAGAACCAGGCTCAGGACAAGTGGCCATCTGCTTTGACCGGCTGGTTCAATCCCCAGTTGGACCTGGGGTCTTTTTGTGTGGAGTGTGCATGTTCTTCTTGTGCTGCGTGGGTTTAATCCGAGTACTCCGGTTTCCTCCCACAGACCAAAAACGTATGTCAGGCTGCCTTCAGGCCCAGGCCTCTCTTGCAAAGGAGATCTGTTATCTAAGTGGGATTTGCCTGATTAAATAAAGGTTAATAAAAATAACACATTCATCCCTGTAGTGATCAGGCCTCTCAAAGAACAAAGATGGTTTCTGTTAATTTAATATCTTAATATCTTAATGTCTTGTCTAGTATGGACGTTTTGTTTAACTACTCACTGTGAAACAAATCGCCCCTTGAGGATAATAAAGATTCTTGAACTTGTCTGATGATATGAACATAGTAAAGCAATAATAATCTGTGTCACATGACATGAGTGAGTTCTGATCCATCTGGACCTGAAGGAAACAAACTTTTGTCCTCCTACCTGATCCCAGCGACCTGGATCGGACTCTGCAGATGCTCCTGCAAGCGCTGGTGGTGATGAAGGGAGGCGGGGGAGGACGGGTGATGAGGGTGTGAGTATGTGCAGGTGGAGAGGCAGGGCGGGCAGGATGCAACGGTGCCCTGGTGGGGGTCAGAGGTCAGGCTCTGGAAGAGAGGGCACTCCTGTTGACCGCAGGGGCAGCACAGGGTGGAGCGGAGATGGCAGTGGGGGCAACAGAATGAAGAAGGTGGGGGCAGGGTGGAGGGAAGGGGGTGTCTGGCTGGACTCTGGGGGTCTTTGACAGCGGGGGAGGGCGAAGCTGCTGATGGTGGGGGCAGATTCCTCAGGGAACCATTCTGTTGGAGGACGCTGCCGTTCTGACTTGGCCTCTCGACGTGCGGCGGCTGAACTCCAGACTCATCAGCTGATGGAGGGTCCTGGCTACTGCAGGACGGGGGGGTTCTGTTTGTGCTCAGAGGATGGGGGCCTCCATTGCTGAGTGATGGAGGGTCTCCATCGGCATCACTGAGGGCCATCGTCCTATCGCTGTGGGCCTTGTGCTGACTCTGAGAAAAACGGAACAAAAAACACGTGTCAGATACGTCCTTCTGTTTGCTCTAGAAGGAAACAGTGACACACAGAGAGTCAGTTCACGTGTGGTTGATTGATTCAATCTTGAAAAGAAGCAGCGACTTTCTGAGACGAAGCACAAACAACCAGCTCCGGGACAGCAGCGTCTTGGCAAACGTAGACCTACAAATATGAACCAGTCATATCTGATGTATCTGCAGAGCTGACAGAAACAATAATTATCTTGATAATGAGTTCTGCTGAGATTTGTTTTCAACGAGACAGAAAACACATCAGCTTTTTAAAATAAGTTCATGAACGGAGCCTGAATCACAAAAAGTCATGTTTTATTTTAAGAACTAATCATCTGCATCAACAGAACACGGTTCGTTTAGTTTCAGCTCTTTGGCACGAACCAAACAGAAATCAGTCATTTTCAAACTGGACCATCTCATTGCAACAAAAACTACCAAGAAAAAAGAGAACGATGGAGGGAAAGCTATCACAACAAGCTATCACAACAAGCCATCATGGAACGAGTGAGACAAAAACAAAGCATGTAAAATATAATGATTTTTATACAGTGAAGAAGATTTAACACTGAACTTATGTAGTATCTGTAGGGTGGGTAAAAATAAAGTTTCTGGAGGTATACCGACGTCCCCATCGCTGAGAGATATCTTGAATGTTTTGAAGATGAGTGGAGAAAAAAATTGAACACAGAATGAAAGTAAACAATGTTTTGGGTGGAAAATATTCAAGTGTGTGGGAGTTACACTGTGGAGAAGAACAGAGGAACCGTAATTTCTGGACTATAATCAGCTACTTTTTTCACAGGCTTTGAACACCATGGCTGCAGCTAATTTATGGATTTTTTTTTTTTTTTTTTTAAACGGGCTAACAAGCTTCCTGCTGCCAAAACATTTAGCTTTGTCACACCCGGGCACTCACATTAGAGTTACATTCGGGCCCAAAAAAATCCAACCCGACCCGGCCCCAGCCCATAGCCACCATTTCCAAACCCGACCCGACCCAACGAATTAACAGTAATTACAGGTCCAAACCCGAAAAAAACGGACATTTTTAATAAGATTTGTCTGCATATATAGTGGCCCCTCGCTACTTTGTGGTTTGTTGGGACCTCCGCACTGCAGACCAGCATGTCAGAGACACAGCCCTGTATCCTCACATACTGTGGGCATCCAGTGAGGTAATCCAGTATCCACTGGGACATGTGGTGATCCACTCCTGATAACTCCAGCTTGTCCCACAGAAGTCCTGGCTGGATGGTGTTGAAAGCACTGGAGAAATCAAAGAACATGATCCTGACGGTGCTTCCAGGTTTCTCCAGGTGGGTCAGAGCTTGGTGCCTGAGGTAGATGAGGGCATCATCCACCCCGATGCCAGGCCGGTAGGCAAACTGCAACGGATCCAACGAAGACCTCAGCAGGTGGCAAAAATAGTTGAGGACCAGCCTCTCGAGTATCTTCATCAAATGTGAGGTCAGAGCCACCGGCCTGTTGTTACTGAGGTCCTTGGGATGTTTGGTTTTTGGTACCGGTACCACACAGGAGGTCTTCCACAGCTGTGGTACTTTCCCCAGCTTCAGGCTCAGATTGAACATAAATCCCATGATGCCACACAGATGATCTGAGCAGCACCTCAGGAGCCTGGAGCTGATTCCATCTGGACCTGCAGCTTTACACACCTTGATCTTTCACAGCTCATTCCTCACCTGAAGAGTTGAGAGGGACAAGATGGAGGTGGGGGAAGGGTGCTGTGAGATGAAGTTTCCTGGAATGAAGGGGGAGGCTAATGGCTGAGAACAGTTTGCTGCTCACATGGCAGTCAGCAGCAAACTGGTTGATCCACTCTGAGAAGGTGTTATTTATAAGACTGAGCTGAATACAGCACCTCAGACTGAAGAAATCTTTCGGATGAAAGACGAAATGTTTCCACTTTTTTTTTTGTTTTGTTTTTTGAATGTCCAGAGGACCAGACATAACTTTTTAAGATTTTTCTACCTGGATTATTGAGCATGCATCAAGATACAGTATTTACAGTGATTCACACAGCTTGAGACTGAATATTAAAAATATCAAGGAACAAAAGAGTGATTTATACATTTTATGCTTTTTACTGCATTGATATAAACACATGGATGAAGGTGTTGAAGTAAAACATGTCCAGTTTAGACTTCATCTGATCAATCAATCATCGATCCATTCATCACACTATACCCGTTCAACAGTTATTGTTAAGTGGACCCCCTGATCATCTGAGCTGCCAGTGCTATGTCAGCAGACTCCTTCTCTGCACTTCCTCTGCAAGCAACACGGAATGCGGAAATGGCTAGCAGTAATCCTTGGTTGTCGAAGCTGTACCCACGCAGGACATCTGGACTGCTCCCTGGTTCTGGCCTGTACTTCATGTGACACTTGCAGAGACTGAAGATGCATAAGTTGATCGAGTGTGGGCACAAAACACATGTTGGGAAGACTATGCAGCATCGAAGGAAGAGCAGGGAGGTCTGGAGCCATGTGGTGCAGAATGATGCTACACAGGACTTCTCAGGTGGGCACTGGTAAGACCTCAGTGAGCCCTGTGGCACAGGCCCAAATTTGGATGGTACCAGCTCCAAAGCTTAAATCTCTAGGATAAGTGCGACAAGTGGTTGGGACTCCAGCTGGTGTAGTTTTTCTCCCGATGCCAGGATGTCATGATCTGGAAGTGGTCCTACAAACACACGAGTGACATAATCACAATAAGTTTAGACAAAGGAAACATGGACATAAAAACATTAACCCAAAGGTTATACCTGTGAAAGCTCTGTAAAGCATGGAGTGTAAACATCTTTTCCCCACAGTTTTGGGCTTTCGCACCACCACCTTGCTGGCAGGTTCAGGATGGATTCCCTTACAAGAAATAAACATACAAATATGTAAAATAAATTAAAAAATAAATAAATGTAAAGGGACAAGTGAGCAATTTGGTAGGACACAGTGGGACAGATTTGAGAGTTAAGATTTTTACTTAACTTGCAAATATTACTAATTCATAGAGGTTGAACCTGCATTTATTCATTACCTACAAAAACAAACAATTCCAAACAAGTTAGTAGAGAAAATTATATTTGACACAAGTAATATTGAGACTGAAAATTTCACATGGCACTAACAATATACAGGTGGGAAAGTTATTACAATTATTGTTATTATGAGAATCATAACCATCATATACCAAATAATATAACAGAAAAGAATGTTTTCCACTTATTTTATTTTTTGTTTTACCTGTGTTCTTTGTCTGTGCCATCTTTGTAAATCTCTTGTGCAGGCCAGTGCAGGAGGACCAGTTGGCAGCTGGAGTTGGGAGTAGTGTGCAGTCTGGTAAAAAAAAAAAAAAAAAGAAAAAAAAGTGCAACTACATGGTTACAAAAATCTTTACCAGCTGCACTTCTACAGAAATAAGCAAACAAATCAGCCCTTTCTTTTTTGAACACCCAGTCAGATCTAAAATAGATCTGTTTTTAACACATATATATATATATATAAATTAATACTTGTTATAACATATTTAGCTTTTAACAAGTAATAGATCGTATAATAGATTGATTCACTTAACACATCACCTTACATATACACAGCACGCTACATACACACATAAACATATGTTTGGCACTAATGTAACCTCATAAAAATATAATTAAAAATTTTATATCATGTCTGTCTCAAATACTCCAAATAATTTAGCACACTAAATTAGACTTCTTTATTACGATGTTTATGTACTTCATATGTTGTAGCTAACGGTTAGCTCGCTAAGCTACGTCTTTTCTTACCTTGATAGTTGTTGATATTTTCTTCAAGGAAGAACTTTTATCCTTTCACGTTTATTGGTTCGAGAATTCGCCGCTGCGATTTCCTCCTCAGCAGCGAAAGAAACGGTTGCAAATTAAGCAAAGATGTTGAAAAGAGAGACATTTCTCCTTAGTGCAAAGACTCTCAAAATAGGAAGTGTCGGTTTCCGGTTGTCGTGAAAAAGACGTCACAAAAAAGTCTTCTTGTTGCAGACACAATAAATAAGCCGAGCTGCCGCAATAAAAATTGTGTTAAAAATATGAGCGTTGTGTTGGACTGACCTGACGTTGCAGACAATAAGGTTAAAATGCCTTGTGATTTTTCCGCCAAATGCTACGTAAATCTGTGACATTTTGACTAGTCAAAATAATTATTCTAGATATCTTGAACGTCATTCTGACTAGTCAAAATGTTAATTCAAGATATCTTAAATAGAAAAGCCGTCTACATGAAAAAATATTCAATATATTTTGAATTCATTTTGAGATATCTTAAAAGGAACTTCGACTAGTCATAAGTACAGTTCTAGATATCTTTAAGTTAGTTTTGCCTAGTCGTTATTTGCTATCAAGATATCTGCAATTTAATTTGCACTAGTCAAATCTATGTGATATCTAAAAATACATTTAAGATATCTTGAATAATGACGTAATTTAAGATATCTTTAATTGCAATTATGACTAGTCAGAACTAAAAGCAAGAGATCTTGAAAGCAAATAATGACTAGTCAAAAGTCACTTAGAGATATCTAGAACTGTATTTTTGACTAGTCAAAAATCAGTTTGAGATATCTTGAATTGAAGCCTCCATACACCTCAATGGTAAATCTGACGTCATTATGACTAGTCAGAATGTAATTAGAGATATCTTAAATGAGTATTTTGACTAGTCAAAATATAATTAAAGATATCTTAAATAACTAATATGTCTAGTCACAAATCAGTTTCAGATATCGGGAATGTAAGCGTGGTGAATCCGATTTTATGTTAAAATGGCTTGCCGTAGTTGGAGAGGACGATGATGATTGGGGGGAGGGGGGAGAGACTCCAGGACCTCTGGAGCTATGAGAAAGCAGAGCGCTGAGGGAAACCCAGATGAAATCATCAGAGTGCCTCTCACAGCTGTCAACAAACTGA